ACTAATATTTATATTTACAGCTAAAAATTATCAAGATATTATACAGATTTTTTGATGCTGAAATAATGTTACAAGTCAAATTTCACCAACAAGTTAAATGTTACAAGTTAAATTTCAGAGATAATTGAGATTTAGGAGACGAATCGGATCAATTTTTATTCATAAAAAAGTTATCAAAAACGAATTAGAATACTAAGTTTTAATATAAATTCTAATTTTTACAATTTTGGCTAAATTTTATGTATAAAATAATAACATAAATATTTCTTATTGCACAACGAAAAAATAAAAAGAGGGAATTATCCAATTTATCTAAAAATTGAGACTAAACGAATCACCAGTTTATTAGATTGATTTAGCAAACTCTATACACTATAAAAATTATTATAGTTTACATAAGTTTCAACATTACAAAGTTACAAAATTCGTAATTCTTTTAAATCGTGATTTTATGCGAGAGAAATAATTCACTCACGATTTCTGCGTTCTGTCCCAAAATTTACATTGATTCGATTCGCCTATGATTTGATTTTCTTTGATCTATTCTAATGGGTTAAAAATAGCTTTTTCACGATTTTTGATTTTTTTTTTAAAAAGTTCAAAAATCAAAAACATTAATAACATTCTTAAAATTCTGATCAGAAGTTATAATAATGTATTGTTTACCCTCTTAAAAATGCACTTTTCTAAATTTCAAATACCTTATTTTTTATGTTATAAAATATAAAAAGTTTAAATGCAGAAATTTGATGAATTATCAAATTTCTGCTTATTAATACATATTATCAATATCATTCAATTGATTTAAAATCAAAATCATCAAAAAATGGTCAAAATCGTTTTCATCGTCCATAAACGGAATTTTAGTAATTTCTAACGTTATAGCAAAAGTTTTTATTAATACAATATTTGTTCAATAAAATACGTAATGTCGAAATTTGAATAATTAGATGAACATAATTCTTTGTGACAAATCCAATTCCAAGTAGATCAAAAGATTTTTGTTCAAAAAAAGTATGGTGAGTTTATGATCATTTTGCCTGATGCATAATTAAGTTCTCACATTTTCATATCATGATTGCAGATAGATTTAATTTGATATCAAATTGGCTCTTCCGACGATCAAAGGGTTAATCGCTAGTGCTTCGTCTCACGCACGAACGGTGGCTCAGCCGGCGCGGAAATGGCCGATAAGATTAGAGACGCCAATCTATTAATCTGTCGTAATCTAACGTCGCCGGATTCGACATCGTAAATCTGCGCGGCGAAATCTCAGGTCTCCGTGAAAGTATTTCTTATCCCGAACTTCTTTGCGTGGATCAATCGACTTGCCATTTCCGGGACAATCTCTTCGACGTCACATTCGCACATTATCCTCTCTCTCTCTCTCTCTCTCTCTCTCTCTCTCTCTCTCTCTCTTTCTTTCTTTCTTTGTTATTTTCTTTCCTTTAACCCCATCGAGCGTCTCCGAGTATTCTCCTCAACATCGTTTGTTTCATCCCGAACTAAGCAAACAACCGAATCTTTAGTTTAGCCCAGTCTTTAGTCTAGCAATACCTTAGACTGGTTTACACGAAGTCAGCGGAGAGGCAAATCCGATGTGAAGATCACTCGTTTGCTCTGCGAAACGAGCAGCTGGTTAGGATTGGCGTGTTGAAAGTGTTAGTATTCGAGAAACACAAACAACGCGAAACAATCCTTCAAGTTTGACAGAGATTAAGAGCGATGATAAGATTCTCGAGGTTAGCTGGAGTCGAACAAATATTGATGGCACCGGGACGAATTTTTCAATTAAATTGAAACTTTTCAACTTGTACACGATCTCGCGAATATTCTTTTGGACAAGTCAAGTGAGAGTGGAGTAAGGAGACTCCTCTCTCTTGAGACATCGGCGTAACGAGGGAAAGTCGAGCACACATCTTCTCGCTATTACAAGAGCTTTCTATTCGTTTGTTTACCCGGCAACTTATCCCCTACTTCACTGGCTCGTTGACTACGAATGTATGGTAACTAGGCGTGTGTATATCTCGTGGCTGGCTGGGATATATTCAGGAAGACAACAACGAGCCCATTTGCAAACAAACCGATTTGTAGACCAATATCCTTCCAGGATATTCTCGCTATCCATACCAGCCATGTCACTGCATTGAAACGGATGATTTCCTGTCGCGCGGTAAATCATAATAAGTGCACGTAGTGAACAATCGATGTAATTGGAATTATATGCGAAATATCTATAATACCTATGCTCAGAGAAAAAATAGATAGTTCTAGCGACTGTAATGCGACAATTTTGAGATATAGTATGTGCGATTAATTTTATAAAATCATCAAAACGAAAATAATGCTTAGAACTAAAAGAGTGATAACGACATGAAATAATTTAATATTTGAGACTACGCTATTTGTATAATTGTTGTGATTTACATTAATGGATGTTATTTCATTAATTATGTAAACAATTAAATTATATATATATATATATATA